ATTGGCAGTTTATGTTAACTAATGAAGCCCTAATGTAAAGTGTGACCGAACAATAAAGAATCAAAACACTTTAAAACAATATCTAGGGCATGTTGTAGGCAAGATTAAAATGTAATTTATTTTTGAAAATAAATAGCCTATTAAGTCTAAATATTGAAGTATTTGGCTCTGTGATGAACATCATAGCAAATACACAAATCTGAATAGCTGTTTAAATCATTTAAACACCTTTCAGAAACAGAAAGTAGTGCAGCTGCTTTGTTTACAGGGTTTCCGGGGTAACGGCTGCATTTAAATTATTATTATTATTATTTCTGCAGTTTAGCGCCATCTGCTGTCAGAGAGTGAAAGTGTGCTTTCATCCAGAGCGTCTCTCACATGTTCCGCCATGTGCTTCTCGTCCGCGCTTATTTACATCAGAGTGCACACGCGTCTTTTCACGCAGCATACAGCGGCGTTGTGCTTTTGGACCAGTTAATGGGAAAAGTATTCTTAAAATGCATTAAAAATTCTGAATAATTTGTAATATATAATTTTTCACGGTATTTAGAAGTGCCCATGATAACAATATCGTGCATATTCATTACCGTGATATATCGCATTACCGAATACTGGCACAAGTCTACTATAATCAATTACATAATCAATTACAGATAAAAAAAAAAAAAAGTACTGTCCACTAATTTCCTTCTAGCCTCATAAAGAAAGCAGTTTTTTAAACGATAAAAGAACCCCAATTTTGGTTTAAGATTCTTCAGCAGATTATCAATGTGTACATTAAAAGCAAATTTTTTATCTAACCATATCCCTAAATATTTATAAGACCCTACTCTTTCAGTGGTTGTTTTATCTAAAGTTGAAATTTCCATAAAAAATAAAATTTAATTTAAAATTCCATTTAAATAAAAAAGTAAAAATATGCATGGTATCATAATGTTATACTAAAGCTAAAATTAAAACAATTGAAAAAACCCTTAAGATAACCTGTAGAAATAAAACACACACACACACACACCTTTAGCATGCAGAATAATGCAAGTGAAACATTTTTTTTTGAGCCTTTGAACAATTATGTAATTGTGGCATCCGTAATTGCAATCACGATTACAAATTTGATTAATTGTGCAGCCCTAAGTGAATTAACTTTAAGCACAGTATTTCTGCTATAATGGGGCTTAAATAATAAATGACAACTAAACTACAAAACTGAACATAGTGGAGATGATTAACTTTTTCCTATTATTATAGACATAAATGGTAGAAATGGGATTGGTCTATAATGAACCAATTCTTCTGGGTCAAGTGATAAGTGGTTTGATAATCTGCCAGGTTTTTTTTTTTTTTTATGAAATATGGTTTTTTTTTTTTTAGGCGTGTCCTAAAGAAAGTGAATAGTTAACATTGAGAAGAGGCTCTGAGATTACAGGATGTGTATAGGATCTTGCATGCATGCATTTGGTTTTCATTATTATTTTGATGTCTTATGTTGATTTTGATGTCTGTTGCTTTGTGCCATTAAACTGGTGTTAACTTGTATTTTATTGTCTTTTTTTCACTTCAGACCTAATGGCTTTGAAAAAGGAAAGCCAAGAACTGAATAAAATGGAAGAGAATCAGTATGACAAAGATCAGGATTTTATGACTGGAGAACAATCCACACAAAATGAAAAGACTTCCTCACAAAAAAGAGGTCAAAAGACCGAATCTACCAGTTATTTCACTTGCTGTCAATGTGGAAAGACTTTCAATCAAAAACAAAACCTTGATGTCCACATGAGAATTCACAATGGAGAAAAGCCGTTCACCTGCCAACAGTGTGGAAAAAGTTTCACTCAAAAACAAAACCTTAAAGTCCACATGAGGGTTCACACTGGAGAAAAGCCTTATACTTGCACTCAGTGTGGACAGAGTTTTACACATAAAGGAAACCTTAATGCCCACATGAGAGGTCACACTGGAGAGAGTCCTTACACCTGTAGACTGTGTGAGAAGAGCTTCTCACGAAAAGAAAGTCTTAAGACTCACATGCGAATTCACACTGGAGAGAAGCCGTTCATATGTGGTCAGTGTGGAAAGAGTTTCAGATGTAAAGAAAACCTTAATTGCCACATGAAGATTCACTCAAGAGAGAACAGTTTTATATGTCATCAGTGTGGAAAGAGTTTTCCTGACAGGAACCACCTTAGAAATCATGTAACAACTCACATCGGAGAGAAGCCTTTCATGTGCCATCACTGTGGAAAGACTTGCACAAACAAAGCAATCCTAGAGATTCACTTAAGAGTTCACACTGGAGAGAGGCCTTTCACCTGCCCTCAGTGTGGAAAGAGTTTCACAAATAAAGGAAACCTTAACATTCACATGAGGCTTCACACTGGAGAGAAGCCGATCACATGTCTTCAGTGTGGAAAGTGTTTCACATATCACACAGACCTGAAACGACATTTGCAAACTCATTCTGGAAAGAAATTGTAGTATTCCTCAATTTTACAAAACCTGCACATTCACTCCCCAAGTGAAAAAAAAGTGCACTTCCATAATGTACTTAAAGTGCACTTGTGTAGTGTACTAGTGAATGATAGCTGGGTTCAAGTGTACTACAAGTGGTAACTAAATACATTTTTGAATACAGAGATAGTATGTTTATTTGAGTTCATATTCATGGTGTCTCAAAATAGCACAGTTGAGTACACTTAGATGTTCTTAACATTATCTTAAGTACTAAAGAATAGTTTTTAGTAGGGGTGACCCCGAATAGTCGATGCTTCGATAGGAGGAGCCTGATTCGACTACCAATCTCACAGTCGAATATTCGCAGGGTGTTATGATCATGCCATTTTGGCTATATAGGGGTGCTCAAATGTCTGATTTCACATAGAACTACCGGTTTGCTCCCAATAAGTTAATATACAGTCAGCCTATTATGATAATGCTGTAAATAACAATCTGAAACGAAAGAAGCTTCAAATAAATATTGTAACGTGCGTGAATAAATCTAACCACCCCTATAGATTTAAGTTTCACTTTCCATGATCCGTGACCGACAAGACTCAAACTGACACAGGCAGAGTGAAAGACTGGATTTTTTCGATCAGTTAGGGTACAAGTGATTTCAAAACATTTCAGCCGGTTTATATGTATTGTGTATATATTACCTCGTATAAGATGCATTTGGTTGAATTACGCTGCAGTAAAGCGCTTCATTGTACTACTACGGAAATTATCTCATCAGCGCACCGCACGAGCAGGACAAACAACAATGCAGGATATTAATAACTATGACTGGGACTGCGTAACGGCCCGTGTTTTCGCTTTGTGAAACTGAAAAGATTCGTCGGACTGGTTGGAAAAAAAACATTCGCATTTGTATGAAAGATGGGTTCAAGTGGTACCTAAATACATTTTTAAATACATTTTTAGCACTTTTTAGTTCATATTCATGGTGTCTCAAAATAGCACAGTTGAGTACACTTAGATGTTCTTAACATTATCTTAAGTACTAAAGAATAGTTTTTAGTAGGGCTGACCCCGAATAGTCGATGCTTCGATAGGAGGAGCCTGATTCGACTACCAATCTCACAGTCGAATATTCGCAGGGTGTTATGATCATGCCATTTTGGCTATATAGGGGTGCTCAAATGTCTGATTTCACATAGAACTACCGGTTTGCTCCCAATAAGTTAATATACAGTCAGCCTATTATGATAATGCTGTAAATAACAATCTGAAACGAAAGAAGCTTCAAATAAATATTGTAACGTGCGTGAATAAATCTAACCACCCCTATAGATTTAAGTTTCACTTTCCATGATCCGTGACCGACAAGACTCAAACTGACACAGGCAGAGTGAAAGACTGGATTTTTTCGATCAGTTAGGGTACAAGTGATTTCAAAACATTTCAGCCGGTTTATATGTATTGTGTATATATTACCTCGTATAAGATGCATTTGGTTGAATTACGCTGCAGTAAAGCGCTTCATTGTACTACTACGGAAATTATCTCATCAGCGCACCGCACGAGCAGGACAAACAACAATGCAGGATATTAATAACTATGACTGGGACTGCGTAACATGATGAGAACACTATTATAATAAAACGCTGTGAGTTTTTAGAGTTTAGTTGCCGTGTTTCTGCACGTTGTTGCAAGAATCATGTGCATTCGGGGCATTTTGTGCAGATAGCCTATAAGTCGTAATATAACGTTGTTGCATAAATAACGAAGCGTATTCTATATGAGATAAATGATGAGTTAAATCCCATTGATTAAAAACCTGCTAAATGCTTTATTCTACTGGTCATCTTCAGGCGCGCAGCTCAAAACAGAAATGCCGAACATTAATAACTACTGTCATATACATAATGTTATAATGAGAGCACTATTGTAAAAAAAAAATTTGTGAATTCTTAGGGTTTCGCTGACATTTAATGTTAACTATCTTTTAATCAAAACATAAAACATTATTTACCCCGTTTGTATCTGCAAGGCGTCCGTTACACATTTTCCCTGTGTTTTAACGTCAGTATGTCTGACTTGACTCTTGTTAATGTATTTTGCCCCCGCCTCCAAACATATGATTCGACTATCAGTCGACTAACGGCAAGATTTGACAATTCCGATTCGACTATGTAAATCCTTAATCGGGGACAGCCCTAGTTTTTAGTATATTAAGTACAAAATTGGTGTGTAAACCGAGCACCTTAAGTACATTATGGAAGTGCACTTTTTTTTACTTGGGTCTAAAGGAAGACTGTTTTATGTTCTTTGTGCGGAAAATGTTTTAAATGGCTCAGCAGTTTAAAATGGCACCAGAAAAATATGCATCTGTGCGAAAATTGGTTTAACTTGTATATTTGATTGTTTAATACGTCGGAATCAACACATTAGATGATATTCATCTTGCTTTAAAAATTCCACAATGTAAATAAAATAGAAATGTAAACAAAGGATATAAGCTAAACAAGTTTGTTGCCGCCTTATGCTTAAATGTTTTATCTATGGCGCTAAAATAGTCTCAGAATTAATGCATTTATGAAATATTAGTAACAACTGGATAAGCTAGGACAGGAAAGGCCCGGACAGTGTTTGAAAAGCTATTCTGAACACCACTGTGGCAGCAGTGGAGTCCTTCAGATTCCTGGGCTCTACCATCTCTCTGGACTTGAAGTGGAGCAATCACATTTGACTCGGTTTGCGTAGCAGAGGTTATACTTCCTTCACCAGCTGAGGAATTTCAAACTGCCACAGGAGCTGCTGATGCAGTTCTACACGGCTGTCATCGAGTCTGGCTTCTACTCTTCAATAACAGTCTGGATTCGCTCAGCTGTCAAATCAGACATCAGAAGGCCACTTTGGGCTGCTGAGAGAAGTACTGGTGCTGCCCTACACACCCTTCCGGAACTGTATACATTCAGATTGAAAAAAAAGAGAGCTTAGAAAATCGCTCTGGATTCCTCACATCATCTTTGAACTTTTGCTGTCTGGCTGGCGGTTCAGAGCATTGAACACTATAACAGCCAGGCATAAGAAAAGCTATTTACCCCCAGGCAATGAACAGTTCATATGGCCTGTTGTCCCCACTGTGCAATAAAACTATGTGCAATATTTCTTACGTTTAACAATACCCTACCTCTTCTTGTTCTATTCCCTGTATAACACTAGTTGTTTATAGCACTTGTATATACAAGTATACTTTGTTGTTTTGTCCGAGTTAAATCACATTCACCAAAAAAGCTTGTTTATTTGCAAACAGTATATAATTTGCTATTAAGTACATAATCAGATTTACATCCAAGAATTTACAATTCCCAAATGCTAAACACAAAGTATGTTTGCACATTTCTGAATGTTTCTGCATGTACAGATTGAATCTGCATTTGAAAGTCATCATGTGTACATTTATTCGCTACTGTATATTTGAGGAACTTGAATATATTTAAAGCAATTTTATACTTGTACTTCACTACACAGAGGCAAAGTACTTTTTTCTCCACTACATTTGTCTGACAGCTTTAGTCACCACACAAGTTATTTTTCTCGTGACTGTAGCATTACTGGTGGCATGGAGTTTGAATGGTTTTGCTATCATTGAATGGACAAGAATTTGATTCTGATGTTCTTGCATCTGCATCTCGAAATGTTTTGAGCAGCTGTCATCTAGTGAAGTTTGGGCACCATTAGGAGATTTAAGTATCTTTAATAAACATGCCTTAGAAAAAAAAACATTACTTGTGTGCATCTTGAGACAAAACAATGGCACTGACATGTTAAGATCAGTCAGTGCCAGTTTCTTTCAGTTAAAACAGCCCAGACATGCATTTTAGTTTGGGGCTAGGTGTAAGCGTTGTCTGTGAAACTAGGGGTAAAAGTGTTTCTATCAAAGGCAGGGTTTTTCCTGGCTCAAAATGAGGTGGTACCATCCTGATCATGTGCACACAATGTACCCACCCTTCAACTGGCTGGAACAAACACTTTTTACCCACGATGTATTTTAAGTGTTATAATAATGAAAAAAAAAAAGACAATTATAAAGTTACATTTTACAAAAAAAATTTAAATTAAATACAACATACCAGCTAAAAGCTCTTTATATACACTGAACAAAATTATAAATGCAACACTTTTGTTTTTGCCCACATTTTTCATGAGCTGAACTCAAAGATCTAAGACTTTTTCTATGTACACAAAAGGCCTATTTCTCTCAAATATTGTTCACAAATCTGTCTAAATCTGTGTTAGTGAGCACTTCTCCTTTGATTATCTCGAAATGTTTTGAGCAGTTGTCATCTAGTGAAGTTTGGGCACCATTAGGAGATTTAAGTATCTTTAATAAACATGCCTTAGAAAAAAAACATTACTTGTGTGCATCTTGAGACAAAACAATGGCACTGACATGTTAAGATCAGTCAGTGCCAGTTTCTTTCAGTTAAAACAGCCCAGACATGCATTTTAGTTTGGGGCTAGGTGTAAGCGTTGTCTGTGAAACTAGGGGTAAAAGTGTTTCTATCAAAGGCAGGGTTTTTCCTGGCTCAAAATGAGGTGGTACCATCCTGATCATGTGCACACAATGTACCCACCCTTCAACTGGCTGGAACAAACACTTTTTACCCACGATGTATTTTAAGTGTTATAATAATGAAAAAAAAAAAGACAATTATAAAGTTACATTTTACAAAAAAAATTTAAATTAAATACAACATACCAGCTAAAAGCTCTTTATATACACTGAACAAAATTATAAATGCAACACTTTTGTTTTTGCCCACATTTTTCATGAGCTGAACTCAAAGATCTAAGACTTTTTCTATGTACACAAAAGGCCTATTTCTCTCACATATTGTTCACAAATCTGTCTAAATATGTGTTAGTGAGCACTTCTTTGCCGAGATAATCAAAGGAGAAGTGCTCACTAACACAGATTTAGACAGATTTGTGAACAATATTTGAGAGAAATAGGCCTTTTGTGTACATAGAAAAAGTCTTAGATCTTTGAGTTCAGCTCATGAAAAATGGGGGCAAAAACAAAAGTGTTGCGTTTATAATTTTGTTCAGTATAGTATAGTATAGGTGAACATAAACATAACATTAGGTTGTTAAACACTTCATGAAATTGAACATCTTTATC